ATAGTTTTTGCCACTTTTCTAGTTCAACATTAAATCCAAAGTTTTGTGCCCATATTATCATAGTTTCCTTAACCTGTTCTTCCATTTTCCTGTCAAGTAAAAAATCATAGTCTTTTAATAATTTTCTCATCTGTTTTAAGCATCACTTGATCAAATTCTGTTAGGTCTCTATAGAACCCCCATGTTTTACAATCCTTAGCATATCTTGATTGCATCTGCACCTTATACCACCAGGAAATATTAAGTCCCTGTTCTTGTATTTCTTGCTCCAGTTTCAGGCCACCATCCTTATCCAGAATATCGCCATATCTTATGATCTTTTCAAAGTTCAATACATTTGGATATACAAAAGCTTCCATAGATGAAAGCCATCTTGGTAACTTATTATACAGTTTTAGCTTTAGTTTTTCACACACTGACATTAAAGATCTTCTAATAAAATGACTCAGGAAGGATCCATGTGACTTAGCTTTTTCATACCACATATAAGCATGCCATCCCGTCTGCAAGTCATGACCTTCAAGATACAAAATTCTTTTATTTCGCAACGTTACCCATTCTTTTAACGAAGTTAAAACAGACGCTTGATAATACAACATCCAATCAGGAAGACCAAAACCTCCATTTCTTTTAGCTTCCTGAAGCATTTTTAATTTAATCCTTGATTTTTTTTTCTCCAGATAAACCTCAAGATATGAAAGTTTAAGTCATCAAAGAATTTTTTATCAATTTTTATGGGAATCATTTGAAACAAAAACAAAAGTTTAGGTAATATATTCATTTTGACAAGAGCTATTCTTCCCATCAAAGATAATTGTAAAGTGGCCCATTTTTCCAAAAAGCCTTTAATATCCTTCAATAATTTATCATAATTGTCTTCTTTCAAGGTAGTACATTTAGCTGTAAGATAGATTCCCAAGTATTTAACCTTTTTAACAATCTGCAAGTCTACTTGTTCCTGGAATCTTTCTTTTTGTTCTCGCGTAAGGTTTTTAACTAACAATTTTGTTTTTTCTCTATTTATTTTCATTCCTGTAACTTCACCATATTCTTCAATCCATTGTAGAAGTTTGGGCATTGTTGAAAAAGGTTCCTCCATTATAAAAACCAGATCATCCACAAATGCTTGCAATTTATAACTTTCTTCCCTAATTCTAGTTCCTTTGATGTCCTCGTCATCCCTAACACATCTGATCAGTACCTCTAAAGTCATAATGAACAAGAGGGGTGACAGAGGACATCCTTGTCTTGTGCCCTTTTGAATCTCTATAGGGTTTGAAAGTCCTCCATTAATTAAGATCCTGGCCGATTGCTTTTGATAAATACTTGATATCGCATTCATAAATCTTTCACCAAACTCCATTTGAATCATCTGTTGTTTCATAAACTGCCAATTAACATTATCAAAGGCTTTTTGGGCATCTAAAAACAATAAGGCCATTGGTTTTTTGGTATGTATCTCATAATATTCTAAAATATCCAAGATAGTTCTCAGGTTATTCTTCATTTGTCTTTTTGGCAAAAAGCCATTCTGGTCTGGATGGATAAAGTCTACTAATAACTTCTTTAATCTTTCTGAGAGTATGGAAGCAAAAATTTTGTAATCCACATTTAATAGTGATATAGGTCAGTAATTTTGAATCTGTGCTACATCCATATCTTCTTTTGGTATTAATGTGATATTTGCCTCGGTCCAAGTAGTCGGTATCTTAGTATTTAACAATGCTTCATTACATATGTCTTTTAAGAGTGTAGCAAAAATTGCTTCGAAAGATTTGTAAAACTCGGCCGGTAGTCCATCCGGGCCAGGAGTTTTGTAATTCTTTTGTTGCTTGATTGCTTCTATTGCTTCCGTGATCGTGACTTCTTGGTTTAATAATTTTTGATATTTCTCTGGTAGTTTTGGTAACTTTCCCTTTTGAATATATTCTTTAACTTTCTTGATTGAAATCTCCTCCTTCTGATAAAGCTTTGTAAAAAAGTCTTCCACTATTTTCTTGATTTGTGCACCCTGTGAATGTAGCTGTCCTTCTCTGTCTTTCAATTTCACGATCAACCTTTTCTCTTTTTCTTTCTTAACTTTATGTGCTAACCATCTCCCTGGTTTATTAGCATTTTCGAAGAAATTCTGTTTGGTCAATTTCATTTGTTTACTAAGCTCATTTGTATCCAAAAGGTTTAACTTATGCCTTAAAATATCCAGCTGAGACTTAAGACTTTGTTTTGATGGTCCTCCTGCAGCATTTGTTCCAATTTCATCAATTCCTCTACTATCAGAGCTCGCTCTTGTTTTTTCTTTTTATTTATTTGTGCTGACTATGTTATTATCACTCCTCTAACATAGGCTTTGGCTGTATCCCAGACATTCTGTAAAGAGTTTCTTCTGGTTTATTTATTTGAAAAAATACTTGCATTTCCTTATTCATCTTTTCTGCGAATTTTTAATCTTTTAACCAGGCTTTATCTAGGCTCCATCTGGGTTCCTTTTAGTGATAAGAATACCAGGTTGTGATCTGCCCAGACATTTGCCTCTATTTCAGCTTCTATCAGATCTGGTACTAAGTCTGGAGTTATCCAAACCATATCAATTCTAGACCACAGCCTATGTCTATTTGAGTAAAAAGAGTATTTGGCAGAAGATGGGTTTTTGTGCCTCCAAGCGTCTGTCAGTCTAAATTCCTCAATCATGTTAGAGCAGGACTTTGGGAGTATCCTCCTACCCTTTTTTCCTTTACTAACATTCTTATAATCCATTTGTTCATCCACAATCGCATTAAAATCTCCCATTAGACACATCGTCTGGAAATCCACTTGTAGAAGTAACATGTGTAATTTTTGGTAAAAAGTCTCCTGATGATCATTTGGCGCATATATTGCCACTAAAAGTACTTTTTTCCGTTTAATTGTAATTTCAACCATCAGAATTCTACCTTCCTCATCAGCAAGAATAAATTTAGGTTCCAGTTTTTCCTTAACATAGAGTGCTAGATCATTTTTCTTTTGAGAAGTAGATACAAACAATTTTCCCAGTTTTAAACATTCCAAAAGTTTAACACTTTGCTTCTTAATATGTGTTTCTTGTAAACAAATTATATCTAATTTTCGTTTTTGAAGTTGGGCAAAACCCTTCTTCTCTTAGCGGGTCCATTCAGTCCATTAACATTTAAGGAGAGGAACTCAATTCTCCCTTCTCTTTTTGTAGCCATATTTAAGAAAAATTATATAACTATATATGTATATATGTACATATACATATCTACTTATTTTTCACCTTACTTCCACACTGATTTCAATGCAATTATTTACAGTACAACCCTGTGCTTGTCCACTCAGACTTACTCTCAAATAATAATGGACAGGATTATATTCCTATGCCTGGATCAGACCCAGTGGAATTAAAAACTGTATTCAGTGAAAATCTTTAAATAGTAAAACTGTTTTAATAAGCTATCTTAAGGCAAGCTTCTTCAGGAAGGCCTTCAATAAACAGCATTTCCACTGGACAGGTCCAACTACTTGAGGGTTAACAGATATATTATGGCAGAAGCTTTCATGGAATACCAAAATGAGTATTTTAGATGAATGACTCCAGAGTACCAGCAAGTTTGGATGCTGCCAATGATATAAATATTTAAAAAGATAAAATTTGTTTATATGGAGTTAACATTTGTCAGGACTGTAGCCATGACCCCTCTGGGTTCTCCACACCAACCACATTGCAGATGCTAAACTAATATTCTCATAAGCATGTAATATTCCCTCTGTTTCAGAGCTGAGTGATGCAGCTTATATAGTCAAAGCTGAACCACATACACACAAGTGTTTAGTGTAAGGGAGCTTGGAGAAACCCCAGAGTTTTCAGAGATACAAAAATAAAAATAATAAGGGGAGACCTTCTCTTGTTCCTTTCCAGCAAAACAGTCCAATGGGGACTTGGTGTGCTCATGGCCACAGGGTTGTGACTGAATGCTGGGGAACAAAATGGAAAACCAGTGAATGAAATGGCTAGATTGTGATACTGCATGCTGCAACATTTTGGCACACACATCTCATGCATCATTGTGCCTAATCTTTTGATCTTGGCCATGTCTTATGCATTCTGTTATGCTGACCGCAAAAAATTAACTGCATTTCTTAACACATTGTTTTCTGAAAGTTTTGTCCGCTTCTACTCCTTTCAGTTTTTGTTTGTTTATAATTCAGGTCTCTCATCCTTTCTCACACTGAGGAGTGATAACTCAAGGATCTCCGAAAAACACAGTCGGCCATCAGCTTTTACCTCAACTTTTGTAAAACAACAACATCCATATCAGCCCAAAGACAATGAAAGTAAGGGGGTTGATTAATTCTCCAGTTTATAATTCATGTCATTAGATGCTCAGTAAATTATAATTTCCTATTGTTAATACAAATTCCTTGACATACGGTACTTTGAGCACATCCTGAGAAGAAAGACTCACTGGATAAGTCAGTAATGCTATGGAAAGTTGAAGGCAGAAGAAGATGACCAAATGTTTCTGTTGGTTATGTGCCATTAAATTATCTCCAATGAATGAAAGCCCTCCAGAAAGTTATATCAATGACAGCCCTGTCCAGCTCTTGTATATTCAAGGCTGTGGTTTCTTTTATGGGGTCAATCCATCTCATATTTGGTACGCCTTTTCTTCTGCTTTTGACTTTTCCTGATTGTCTTTCCAGGCAGTTTTTCCTTCTTGTTATGTGCCCAAAATATGACAGCCTCAGTTTTATCATTTTTGTTTCTAAGCAAAGCTCTGGCTTGAGTTGATCTAGGACACACTGGTTTGTCTTTCTCTCAGTCCTGGATATTTGTAAAACTTTCCTCCAGCACCATGTTTCCAGCACATCAATTTTCCTCCTGTCAACTTTCTTCACCGTTCAGCTTTCACATCCATTCACTGTGATTGGGAATGCAATAATATGGAATACCTTGACCTTGGTCACCAGTGAAATTATATAGTCCTTATACTTGATGATCTTTTCTAGTTCTTTCATCGCTGCCTTTCCAAGTCTTCTTTGAATTTCTTGGCTGTAGTCTCCCTTTGAATTGATGACTGAGGTATGTGAAATCTGTCACCGTTTTGATTTCTTCACTGTTAACAGTAAAGTTTTGCAATTATTTTGTGGACATGATTTTTGTTTACTTACTATTTAGCTGCAGTTCTACTTTTGTACTTTCTTCTTTCACTTTTAACAGGAGCCATTTCGAGTCATTGCTGCTTTCTGCCAGTAGTATAGTATCATCAGTGTATCTTAAATTATTGATACTCTTCTACCTATTCTCACTCCTTCCTCTGAATCTAATCCAGCTTTCCTTTTGGTATGTTCTGTGTACAGATTGAACAGATAGGAAGATAAAATACATCTTTGTCTGACACCTTTGCCTATGGGAAACCATTCTGTTTCGCTATATTTTGTCCTAACTGTAGCTTCTTGTCTGTGATACAGCATATGCATCAGGACACTCAAGTGCTCAGACACACCCATTTCTTTCAAGACCATCCATAGCTTCTTGTGATCTGCACAGTTAAAGACTTTGCTGTATTCTGCTGAGCAGAAACTGATCTTCTTTTGGAATTTTTGGTGTACTCCAGTAGCTAACATGTTCTTGTGATGTTATCTTTACTACTCCATATAAAGTAGTATTCTTTGTTGCAAAGTGCTGAGCATCAATTTTCTAGCATAGGAAATTAGTGTAATGGTCCTATAGTTGCTGCACTCATTTGTATCTCCTTTCTTGGGGACTGGAATGTACAAGGGGTTTAAAAATTTTCAAACTTATATATTTGATATTTTAAAATATATTTTGTATACTTTTTGTGGATGGCATTAAAAGGTTGGTACCATGCTGGGAAAAATGCTTCACAAAGGAAGGTGACTATGTAGAAAAGTGATGTTCTACCAAAAAAAAAAAAGAATTTGTTTTTGAAATTCTTAATAAATAGAGTTTAAAAAATGCAGAAACTTTTAAAAGAACCCTTGTATATTGAATGTTTCCACTCTGTGGGCCACTGATTCGTTTTCTGTATTTGTTAACATACTTTTGTTAGAATTTCCAGGTGCTTTCGGACAGAGCAGCTTTCATTTTGCTTTCTAATATTGCAGGCTCTTCAAAAGATTCTGCTTCAAAGGAGTCTGTCATCCTTTCATCTCTTATGTTTAGTTCTTCTGTATATTCTTTCCACCTCTTTATTTTCTCCTGGTCAGATTGTATAATTTATTTATTATTTTATTTATTTATTAAAACATTTTTATGCCGCCCCATTCGCCGAAGCCTCGGGGCAGCTTACAACATAGATAAAACAAGTTAAAATCCATATAAAATAATCTTAATTAAAACTCACATTATAAAATAAGCCGCCCTGGCCAGATAAAATTCAATTGTATTTAACATTTAAAATGTTGCTTAAATAAAAAGGTCTTAGCCTGGCGCCGAAAAACAAATAACGACGGCGCCAGGCGGACCTCTCTGGGGAGCGCATTCCATAACTTAGGCGCCACCGCTGAGAAAGCCCTTCTCCGAGTAGCCACCCTCCTAATTTCTCTCACGGAGGGCTCCCGGAGAAGGGCCTCTCCCGCCGATCTCAGGGGGCGACTGGGCAAATATGGATGTAAGCGCTCCTTCAGGTAACCAGGACCCAAGCCGTTAGGGCTTTATAGGTCATTACCAACACCTTGAATTGGGCCCGGACTTCAATGGGGAGCCAGTGAAGCTGACGGAGAACTGGTGTCATGTGAACATAACGTCCAGTCCCCGTCAGCAGCCTGGCAGCTCTATTCTGAACCAATTGAAGTATCCGGACCGTCTTCAAGGGTAGCCCCACGTAGAGCGCGTTACAGAAGTCAAGACGGGAAGTCACCAGCGCATGAGTCACTGTTGCAAGGCAGTCGTACTCCAGGTAGGGGCGCAGCTGATGAATCAGCCGAAGCTGGAGGAAAGCGCTCCTCGCCGCTGTTGTCACCTGAGCTTCAAGTGAAAGCTCCGGGTCGAGGAGCACTCCCAAGCTGCGGACCTTGTCCCTAGGAGGGAGTGCAACCCCATTCAGGACAAGGTTCAGGTCACCTTCTCCGAAGCCCGAACCGCCAACCAACAGGACCTCCGTCTTGTCTGGATTGAGCTTCAGTTTATTGGCCCTCATCCAGCCCATTACCTCGGCCAGGCACCGGTTCAGTACAGCCACTGCCTCACCTGGATTGGTGGAAAACGAGAGGTAGAGCTGGGTATCATCAGCATACTGATGGGTCCGCAGCCCACACCTCCTGATGACCTCTCCCAGCGGTTTCATGTAGATATTGAACAGTAAAGGGGACAAAATGGAACCCTGCGGTACCCCATGGCAAAGCTGCCATGGCGCAGAGCCATAGTCCCCCAACACCACCTTCTGGAATCGGTCGTTGAGATAGGAGCGGAACCACCGCAAAGCGGTGCCTCCGACCCCCAATCCCGCCAGCCTATCCAGAAGGATACCATGGTCGATGGTATCGAAAGCCGCTGAGAGGTCCAGGAGAACCAACAGGGACGCACTCCCCCTGTCCTTCTCCCTGCACAGGTCATCGTACAGGGCGACCAAGGCAGATTCAGTACCGTACCCGGGTCTGAAGCCGGACTGAAATGGGTCCAGATAATTGTTTATCTTTTAGCACTCCTAGGTTTGAATTTCTCTTTGATTTCTTGGATTTCTGGACAAGGTCTCTTGCTTTCCCTCTTCTGTTACTTTCTTCCATTTCTTTGCATACTGATCATTGTAATAGGTCTTTTTGTCTCTACATAGAAGTTGCTGAGAAGTTGCATTCAGGATTCTGACCCTATTTCTGTCACCATGTGCTTTTGCTTCTTGCTTGTCCTTTGCAATTGAGTTTTTTCTGTCACCCATATAGGCCTTTTCTTTCTAGTTGCTGCAAGAATTGTCTTTTGGCATTCTTCCCTAGTAATGTCTCTGGTTTCAGTCCACAGTTCTTCTGGCTCCTGGTGAAGTGAGTTTAGTAATGGTTTTTACGTGGACTTTTAATTATTCAGAGATGTTACTTAAGTATTTTGGCACTACGTTTCTGTTACTGGTATTTCTTAGCTTGACTCTGATTTTTGAAATTAAGAGCTGATGGTCACTACTGCAGTTGCTCCTGGTCTTGTTTTGGCAGCAAGAATAACTCTTCTCCACCTTCTCCTAATTACACAATCAATTTTATTTCTGTATTGGTCATCTGGTGAAGTCGATGTATATAATTGAGTGGCTGTTTGAAGTCTTCAATCTTGTACATGCTTTATTTGTGAAGAAGCCCCCTGAACACTGTGCCAATTGTGCTTTTGGAGAAGACTTTTATTGTGCTATTGCATAATTTTTCTGCCACATTAATGAAATTTTATAAGGGGTTGAGATGTTATTTATAGCTGTCCTGTGTTTTCCCACGACCTATCACATGCACACATGCCCATTAAGGAGGGAGAAACAGAATAGTTCCACAATGCCTTTTGACTGGTAGTGCTAGGAGCTGTCCATCCCAAGTAAACCTTCACAAGATTGGGCTGCAAGACTAGAATACTAAGTGCATGGATCAGTAAATCCAGTTGACTTTAGTGGGATTAATTTGTGAGTATCCAGATACCACTTTCCTGTGCTGCAATGCATTTGTTTCTGTAAGATCCCCGAGTCCTCTTGTTCAATTGATGGCAGCAATCCTGCCATTTCTGCAGCTAAGGGAATTTTCATAAGTTCTTAGTGAGGTGGCCTAAGAACACAGGTGGCCCTCCAGAAATTCTTGGACTGCAACTCTCTCAGCCCGAACACCATAGCCAATGAGTCTATGAATGGATCTAAAGGTCCATATGTTGTACAGGGTGGTTACTGTATGCTGCATACAAAAACACAGATTGCCTAAGGTAAGCCCCACAATAGCGCTTTAGATTCCTTAGCATTGAACTGGGAGAGTGCAATACTGCTCCTTTAGTATTTTTAAAAAACTATGTCACTGCATGTTTGAGAAACTATTTCTGCCATATTTGCAGGCTATGAAACAAGTGCTAAAGGTAAAGAAAGCATTCTTAACATTAGGCATGAACAGACATATAGATAGATAGATAGATAGATAGATAGATAGATAGATATCTTTAATGATTAGAAATTCACAGGTAGAAACACTTAGAATTTCCTGTTCCTTTTCTTTCTTGCAAATATGAAATATTTGTCACAATTGCATGGTATATTAATGCTGTGGGGTTTTTCTTCCCCTCCAGGAACTCAAAACTTTAAGTAAGGAATGCAGTGAAGAAAATATGGATTTGCAGCAACTCTGGGGATCATCTGTATTAGAAATAAACTAATGTGGGCAACCCTTGAACTAATTGTCAGAGAAGATTAACAGCCACCTTCTAACAAAGCCAGCAATGGAGGAGAAACCAGCTCAAGTTTGTTCAGTAGCAATGGAGTCTTTGCCTTCTATATTACACTACTACACCCTTCTCCACCTTGGTGTCCTCCAGATGTGCTAGACTACAGCTCCCAGAACAAGTGGCTATGCTGTCTGAGGATGATAGGAATTGTCCGTGCATTTTTTGTAAGAAAAAAGGTGCCGGAACTCATGAAATTATTTACCTTTCGCACGTAGTCAATCACTGTACACGCACACACGTCAGTTCTGTAACGAAACGTAACAGTTGCCACCCGCAGTAAGCACTCAGTGCGCGACCACATGACCAATCACAAGCCAAGCAGCGCCACAAGCTGAGCAGCGCCATCACAACCAGCACGGACGAAGTACGCATGCATCGGATTCGACACACAAGCAGTCCACATGCACCGTTTTAATTATTTTGCCGCCAACCTGCTACGCTTGACAGGGCGATTCAAATCCACATGGACCAAACATCAAACTTTCAAAAGTTACTTTTAAAACTTGGAAAATCTGTCGAAAAAAGGTGCCGGAACTCTGTTCCGGTGTGTTATATGACAAAAAAAGCACTGGGAATTGTAGTCCAACACATCTGGGGGACACCAAGTTGGGTGTGCTATTACTTACTGGTACTTTTTCATTTGGGAAGGGAGGACTGTCCATCAAGTTGGTGGTAAACCATCTGTAAGAGAAGGGTTATAAGGTATATAGTACATATATAATATGGTATACAGTTTGCATGCAGAAATTTCCATGTTCAATCCCTGACATCCCAGGTAGGGCTGGAAAAGGCTATGAGTATAAGAGCCATGCTGAATCAAACTAAGGGTCCATCTAGTCCAGGATTCTGTTCACAGAGTGGGCAGTAAGCTGCCTGTTGGAAAACCACAAATAAGACATATGTTTGATAGCACCATCCTGGCCATGTTCTCTTCAACTGGTGTACATAGACATACTGCTTCTGATATGGGAGGAAGCATAATGCCATCAGGGCTAGTAGCCGCTGATAGCCTATTCATACATTTATAAAATACCTTTTTAAAGCCATCTAAATTGGTGGCCATCACTACATCTTGAGGCAGTCAATTCAATGTGCTGTGTAAGAAAGTGCTTCCTTTTATCTGTCCTGTATCACCCATTAGTCAGCTTCAGAGGATGACTCTAGGGTCTGTTATTATGAGAGATGGAGAAAAATCTTTCACTATCCACTTTCTTCACACTACACATAACTTTGAACACCTCTACCATATCAATTTTTTCTAAGCTAAACAGTCCTAGCTTTACTCCTAGAGGAAATGTTCAACCCTCTCGGTGATAATTTTAGTCGCCTTTTGTGCACTTTCTCCAAATCTACAATATCCTTTATAGGTACAGTGACTAGAATATTACACACCATTCCAAGTATATTTTATTTTCAGTTCCTTTCCTCATTATTCTAATATGCAGTTTGCCTTTTTCACAACAACCACACATTGGGTTGACATTTTTATCAAGCAGTCCACCACAACTTCAATATCTCTTTCTTGACCATCCCATCAGCCTATACCCAAAGTTAGGACTGTTTGCTTTAATGTACATTAGATGATGCCCATTCTCCCAGTTTGAACAGTTCCTTCTGGAACTCCTCACAACTTCACTCTTCTCCAAATACTTTGACGTCATCACTGAACTTAGCCACTTCACTGCCCACTCCTAACTCCATATCACTGAACTTAGCCACTTCACTCCATTTAACATGTGAATATGTTAAAACCCATCGGTCCCAATATAGATCTCTATGGAATCCAACAGATTACATCCCTCCATTGAGAGAATTTACCTTTTATTCCTACTCTTTGCTTACCAGTTACTGATCTGTAAGGAGGACCTCTTCTCTTAGCTTCCTCAGGAATCTTTGGTGGAGGACTTTGTCAAAAGCCTTTTGGAAGTCCAAGTAAACAATGTCTACCAGATCTCCCCTGTCCACATATTCATTGACTCTCTAATAGAACTCTAAAAGGTTAGTGAGACAGGACTTAACCTTTGTGGAAGTCATCTTGATTTTTTCTCAGTAGGGCTTGTCCTTCTATAAGCTTACAGATTTTATTGTTAATAATGCTTTCAACCAATTTACTTGAAACCAACATTAAGCTAAGCAGCCTGCAATTTCCCGGATATTTCTTAAAAAAAAAAAAATCCGCTTTAGACACTGATCTTGGAGATATACTACATATTTTTAGTAGTTGAATAATTTCATCTTTGACTTCTTTATGAACTCTAGGATGACATTTCGGTCTGGTGGTGATTTATTAACTTTAAATTTGTCCTATTGGCTTAATTCCTCAGATTCCCTTCCTAAAAGTGTCAGGTCAAGCACAGGTATCTGCTCTGTATCTTTTGCAGTGAAGACAGATGAACATAATCCATCCAGTGTCTCTGCAATCTCCTTATTCTCCTTAGTACTCCTTTAACTCTATTATTATCCGATGTCCAACTGCTTCCCTAGCTGGTCTCCTGCTTCTGGTGTATGTAAAGAAATCTTGACCTTTGGCCTTGACCTTTTTAGTGATACACTCTGTTAGTGATATTCAGCTGTCTGAAATCAGAGATACTGCCAATCAGTGCAAGACAAGACTGAAGTAGAAGGACCAGTAGTCTGAACCAGTAGCTACATATGAGCAACTCCCTTTGAAATACTCATCTTGTTGCAACTCAAAGCCAAGATTAGGGGATCTCATATGAAGGACTGAGGGCGGTAGCAGTGATATTGTTCTGCCACTGCCTGCAGACATTTGGGAATTATGTTGGCAGAAGGTCCATGGGTAGTGTTGTGCTTCTGCTTCCTGAGACACAAAGTTACCTGTTGCTTTCTAGTATACTGAATGGCCATTAGCAGGAGCACAGAACAGGGCCATAATTCAATAGGCAGGGTTTGTAAATTGCAGGAACTTCTGGGGAAGGCAATTCCCTGCAAGCACTGTGTCAGTGTGTGATGCCTTGCTTTGAAGTTACAATTCATATTTACTATAGCTTACAGATAATTTAGTTGGAGTGGTTGCACTGGAGAAGCCAAATGTATTTGATCTTTCTTTCTTACCATGCCACTTAAATGATGAAGAATTTAGTACTAATTATTTGCTTCAGATTCATCTATATTGGCAGGCTGTTTTGTCATGTGGAAAGTCTCTTTTCTCTTTCAGTAAAAAGTGCTAAAGCAGTTAATCAAGACCATATATAAAAGAGCCTGTAGGTATACTTTCTGATGACGGTGAGATGGTATTCAGCTAAGTATATGCAATATAAAACTGTATACTCAATTTTTCAGTTTGGTTTACTTTCTTAGCCATTTCATATGCCCTCTATTTCTGTGTTCTCTGCTATACTCTCAAGCATGGAATAATGAATGAGTCTGTTTATCTTATTCAGTAGCTCTGTTCTGATTCATACTTGGTGAACTTGAGGACATTATCCAGAGATGTCAGAGTGGATAAAACTTTACATGAATAATATCCAGCTTTGCAGAATTATATCTATCCATGCAATAAAACAACTGTTTCCCTCATGGCCTTGATGGAGGTGGTGTAAGTGAATGTCTTGTCATAAAGGGGCTGTAATTGCATGTGCATGTGTAGAATATTGCATGACTGGCTGTAATTCATTCGTTACTTTATCAGTATTCGAATCCGCCTGAGTACTTCACAGATTAATGCTGGTGTTTATCATATCTAGCTAATGGCCAAGTATCCACGTACAATCAAAAGACAGTGAGGAGTGTGGTTATGAAACTGCACTATAAAGCACATCTTCATTTGTTTTCTCTGCTAGAATGAAGCATGTGCTCAACTCCCTTCCTTGGAATGAAAGATCTTAAAATTCTTTTACATTTGATTTCCCACCATAGCTTTTGGGGTTAACTGGTAATTTAAAACAAAACAAAGTCTTGCTTTACATAGAGACTGATACATTTATTTTAACTGTTTATAGATACAATGTTATGTCTGTGATACCAAATATAACTATTATTTGATTGCACTCTTGGTGCAGTTTTTTGTATTCAAAAAGTTTCAATTTCAATTTGAAAGTTTCAAGTCTATCATCTTTGCTTCAGGATAAAGTGTTTTATTGTTGTTGCTTTAATCAGACTGCATTTGTGAATTAATTTGTCAGGTCCAAATTGTCTCTGATCACAAAGAACTGCTCTATGAATGCCTAGTCTTATTAATAAAATGTAGCATTTTCATCAGAGATTGTTAAATACAGAGTACATTTAGTCTTCATTTCTAGATCCATTGACCTGTGAGAAAGTGCCCTACTCACAGGAGATTACTTCTGAGTAGAAATGGTTAGTAACTGGCCATTGATGGTTGCATCACTATTAATGTATAGTCAATTTCTGTGTCAGATACATACATGTATCATGTATCCATTTAAGAAAAGAGCTTTGATAGCTGTACTTTTGAACTTAAATCTCATTGCTGTTCATTCATTCATTCATCCATTCATTTACATTCAAGCATTTTTTTAAAAAAAATCTAAGTTCTTCAGTTTGTGCCCTCTCCAAACTATATGCATTTAGAACCAAGAAGAAAAGTATGTATCTGTTAGAAATGGAGTGAGTTTTGTCCACTCTGATATTGTTTATTTTGTTTTTGTTTATGGGATACAGCTTATATATCCAAATGAGGTTGCATTCCTATACTCATATCTACATCCTATACTTATATATCCAAATAAGGTTGCATTCCTATACTTATTTACCTGACAGTAAGCCTCATTTACCACAGGGTGATTTACTTCTGAGTAAAGGTGGCTAGATGGAGTCACTGAAGCTGTTGGTGTGAGCTTAAGTAGATTCCGGGGGATGGTGGAGGACAGGAAGGCCTGGAGGAATGGTGTCCATGGGGTTGCAATGAGTCGGACACGACTTCGCGACTAACAACAACAAAGTATAGAGAGAATTGTGCAGTTAGTTTGACTGACAAAAGGGCTTGACAATCAATTGCTTATTAGAAGGCCAAATGTAATGGTAATGTAAATCTATACATGTATGTAATGATTTCTATAATGACTGCACTTATTAATTTATAATTTAAAATTCCATGTGTCTCACAGTTTATTCTAAATACAAAGTGTTACTTTTCTGATGGCTATATATGAATTTTTTTAAGTCACCAAAAAAAAAAAAAAAAAAAAAAAGACATGACCATAGACTCCGCAGGCCTTATTGTTTTGTTCTTCAATATAGCTTTCTAATTCCTGCTTAGCAAATATTTGAATATGTTGAGTATGAACATGTTGGCCACTAATACACTAAGTATGCAATGCTATGTTTGATTCTGGTAGTTTATAATATAAGAGCTGGGCTGGATCTAGTCAACCTAGTCTAGCATTCTGTTCACTCCGTGGCCAACCAGCTGCTGCAGGATTTCAATTAGCAGGAAACAAGTATGACACACTCGTCATGCCCATGTTCCCCAGCAACTGGTATACCCAGGCATACTCTGATACTGGTGCTCGTACATATAGCCATCTCCTACATGAATTTGTACAATCCCATTTTAAAGCAACAATAAATCCATGTTATTCATCCATGCTATTGTATTCCCAATCACTTTGTATGGGTGTAAAAGCTGCACAATAAAGAAAGCTAAAGAAAATGAGTGCATTTGAATCATGGTGCTAGAGGAGAGCTTTGCAAATACCTTGGATCAACAGAAAGATAAACAAGTGGGCCCTAGATCAAATCAAGCCAGGACTTTTCCTAGAAACAAAATGACAAAACTGAGGCTGAGTACTTTGGGCGTATCATGAGAAGGTAAGACTCACTGGAAAAGTGAATAATGCTAGGGAAAGGTGAAGGTAGAAGAAGAAAGGAAGCCCAAATATGAGAATGGTTTGGTTTTATAAAGAAAGCCACAGCCTTGAATTCACAAGAGCTGAGCAGGGCTGTCAAAGACAGGACATTCTGGAGGCCACTCGTTCACAGGGTCTTTGTAAGTTGGAGATTTCCCAATAGCACATAACAAGAACAGTGACAGGTGTGAGGGATCGCCCTGGGAGAAAAATTGTTTAGGAAGTCAAATCCTTCAGAGGGCAAAGAAACAAAAACAGCTAAGAAAACTGGTTGCCCTTTATTGCTGACATAAATTGATCAGATATGTGTAGAAGTCTAGCTTGATACATGACTCATCATGAAGAGGACTTATCCATTGTTGATTGTTTATCTCCATCAAGTTTTATGAGGCAAGTGGACATTGAGTAAGCCTACAAAAATAAATAAATGAGAATGGCTTAATTCTTATAACATCTTTGAAACATGCTATAATGTATATATTGAATCAAGAGCTATGAAGCTGGTATAACTTTATGTTTTCTTTGCTACTGTTCACTGAATTACAAAATATTTAAAAGGCAAACTTTTCTTTATGGTATGTACTAACTGACAGTAGAACAGACTGCTTGAGAAGGTGGAGGTTTTTAAGTACAGACTGGATGGTCACTGATCTGGCATGCCCTAACAGATTACTTCCAGCATTGACTAGGGGTTGGATTAGATTACATTTGCTTATCCTCTGAACTCTGTGATTCATTGGGTTGGATCCAGAGTAGCACTTAGTGGAGTTCTGCTTGCACTAGAAGAGAGGAGCAGGTTAGCAATCTTTGATTTCCCCTCTCCCTGCAATCCTGTGAAGTTGCTCTGAAAGGCTGGAGTTTATTCTAAACCAGCATGAGAGGTAGTGCAAGGGGGAAAAGGAATCATTCTTTTCATAGGGGAACCTCTACTGGATTCCAGTGCTGCTTTCTCACAAAATGTCGAGTATGGACCCAACTGTTCATCTAAGAACAATTGCTTTTAACTTCCCAGAAGAAGATGGTCACTTCCATCTCTGAAACAGGTGGCAAGAGTTTAAGAATATATCTTACTTTTTGTAAGGTTAAATCATAAGCATCTCTAGTTAGATGGTCTGACTTAGAACTATAAACAAGCTCCAGATGTTTATGTGATTGCACCAGAAAATAGGAGTCAGGGATAATAAGAAGACTATTTATATGGAATATTTAACCTGGATTTAACATGATCAGATGAACATGGTCTAAAAGAGCAATTCATAAAATGACAGTGTAAGTTGTTTGGCAATGAGCAATCATCATTAATTTACTTTCATGGTATATTGACTGCAAACAGGCACATTATGATGGCTGAGTTATGTAAACATCTGATAGAAACAAATTCAGGTTTATTATTATTTGTCAAACCACCAAGATCATCTGGGTTTATTTCAGCAAAACTTTCTATTAAACTCAGTGCTTTAACCCATAAAAACGCACTGGAAAGTTGCACTCTTTCTACACTCAAATATCTTTCTCCAGTCAGCAATTAAAAATCCAACTTAACAACGACTAATGCTTTCAATGGCTCTAGCAATCACTGGTAACCATCAACACATTGATTCATCTCTAGTTGATCCAAATGTTACAAAGACTGTTCTTGCATTTTTTGTTTCTATCCATCATTATACGATTACCCTCAAATTAAAGCATGCAGTTCTTGAAACAACTTCAAAGGCTAAGCTTGCACTTCTACTGGTTCAGCCTTTTTACTGGCTCATGTTTTCCATTTGGCTTCAACATCTTGTTCTTGCTGATGCCTTTCTAGAATTTCATTTATATATATTACAGCTCTAGTTGGTGAGACAAGCTAATTAATACCGGGATGGAAGCTACAGATTGAAGCAATCTCTTACCTTCTGCTTGGGGGTGGAAAGTAGAAGATGCCAGTTTTTTTGCATTATGTATACATATCATAACATACTGAAGGTAGCCCAGGGTGCCTTAGGAAAATGCATTTAATCAAAATGTGTTTAAATAGGATTGTTTACACTGTTATCTATTGCCAGTTTTGTTAATCATTAAGTTCAAACATGTCAACACAGATGAAACATGAGACCCACTATTTCTTAATTAGATTCTTTTCTAACAAAACAATAAAGTAGAAACAGGCTATTTTGCAATAAAAAGAAATGATGCCAAGTATAGTCTGAACTTTAAAAAGCCTGATGTATTGGAGGTTTGCAAACTGATTCCTTTTTCTTTCTCCTTCATTATGATGCCATGATAAGAGTTACCTAAATCCTAAAAACCAATAATGTTACCAAGAATGTTGCTGTCAGACTACTTTTAGTAATAGAAACAAGGAATTCATATCACTAGAAAAGAAGAGTGATCACATGTAAGATAGCAAAAGTTGGGGAAAAAATCTATTTGTTTCAAGTTAGTGTGTACCATTGTGGCACACAGATGGTGTACATGACATGATACCATTAATTTAATAAATGTCATTCTTATATCTGTTTTATTTAACTGCCTTTTAAAAACACCTAATTCTTATGATTCGACTTAATTCAACTCTAAGGCAAAAGTTTGTCATGAATTCCTCTGGCTCAGACAAAAGAAGTGAATCTGATTTAGACTGTGGCATATACAATGTTAGCAACTGGTCTTTAAAAAAATCAACTCAGACTAGTGCCTAGGATAACAAATTTTATGAGATTGCTACTGGCTCAGGGCTTTCTGAAGCTATCCAAAGTCTAGAACATCCTAACATGGCATAAATGTGAACTAATAAAATCCTAGCTCCAGCAAAGATCACTCATGAAAAATCCCCTTGAAACCAGTGGAACAAGTTAGTTGTAATTGGATGTTTGGGGAATGTTGGACTTGAAATGCTTTTTTTCTGCCTAAAGGTGCAAAGGATTACACCCTAAACCTTATTTTGCATGGTTGTACAAATGTCATGTTTTGCTGTTATCTACTGGGAAAGCCAGGGCTTAATTCATGCCAGGGCTCAGCCCCATTATAAGAAAAATGTTCCTTCAGGACTCTTTACGGTCTCCACATATCAGGGCTCAGGGAAGACGGGCTCCAAATCAGAGGGTTTCCAATTCTAAAAAGACTTGGAATATCCTTACCCCCACTAGCACTGGGCAAATGCTATCCATAGCAACTGTAGCAGAATGCCTGTATTTTTAAAATAATCAATATGCCAATACTAGCACACTGATTTGTCTGAAAGTGTACGTGCATCTCTTTGATAAACTGAATAAAGGATGGAGGCTTCAGAGCTTAAAGGTGCTATCTATACAAGTTTAGACAGAAAAGAAGGCCCACAACTCTCAGCATCCCCAGAGTTGTAGGGCATTTTTCCCGTCTAAATTTGCAATGCATTGGCTCTTATAGGTGCGCTACTACCGAGTTCAATGGAACAAGGAGGTGTGGTGATTCGAGTGCTTGACTGGGGACCTGGGAGATCCGGGATTGAGTCGGCGATGAGGCTCACTGGGGCAATCATTCATGCTCTGCGTAACCTATATCACGGGGTTTTGTTGCAATGATAATAGGATGCTATGTAAGCCACCTTGGTTCCTCACTGGAGGAAAAAGGGCAGGGTATAAATGCAACGTAATCATAACAATGAAATGCTTTCCTGAGTGAATAGCAATAACGAATAAATTGCTCCGCTTACAAGGCCACCGAATTCAGAAGCAAGCGACAGTAACTGCAGCTCTCTTTCCTGAGTCAACAGATACAAATCCGCAGCCAATCTTACAAGTTTTCAGTCTAACTTCGAAAGACTCCCTCTGTTGCACGCCTTCGCCACAATTAGTCCCGCCCCCTCCGCGCGTGGAGATGGAGCGGCGAGTCGAACTCTCCATCAATTGTGAACCGAACGACTCGCCGTAGCCGAGGCTTTTTGCCGCGGTGCGCGTGCGCGGCCCCAAACTGCGGCATCTAGAGGTGAAGGAGGAAGGACAACATCGGCTCCTCGGGCCAGAGCGAGGCGGCGTCTTTCCCGACTTTGCCGCGAGACGTGAGTGTTGCCTTCGCTTTCGCGGCCCCACCCGCCTCGATTTTCTTAGCCCTTTCCCGCCGTCGCTGCTTGCAAGAGACCATTAAACGCCCTTCAGGCCGCGAGGGGAGGGGTGGTTGTTGGGCCGAAGGGTAGGGGTGCTGCTAGGCATGGACTGGGCAGCGTCTGGGAGGAGGCCTGGCTCGGTGAGGCCTCTCTGTCTGCCAACGCGCCTAAGAACGAGCTTGGCGAACGATGGAGGCGGAAGTCGCGGTCCTCTGTGGCAAGTTCGCGCCTTCCAAATGTTTGAGGCTATAGCTCCCGTAATCTCTCCCATTGCGCATGCTAGCTGGAGTTGATGGCAGTTGTAGGCCTTTCTCTTATGTTTTGTGCAGGATTTCGGTCTTACTGTGCAGTTTTTTGCGGGCTTACTCAGAAATAAGTTCGACCACCAAGTTCAACGATTCTTTTTTTCCCTAGGCCTGAATAGTGGTAATGCAACAAATTCCCTGATTATGGTACTACCTTATTCAGATTTACTCTGAAGTACGTGCCACTAGTGGCCCTTGAGCTCTGAGTAAAAGCTCAAGGGCCACTCCTTATTCTATGGCCTGACGTAGTGGTGGTGTTCCATTCTATTAGGGACTCTCTTGTGAGGCTTCCCTTTTGCTGCCCTTCCGCCTTGGCCTCTCCCCAGAGGGATTCATGTTGCCCGGTGGAATGCTGGAAGTGCCCATGAGGACTGCAGTGGGAGTGTATTCTTCACTTCTCCTGTCGCTGGGCAAGAATTTTGCCTGGCCCTTGGTGGTAAGACCACCTCTGGCAGTAGCCTTCCGTTGTGAGCTCCACGCTGTTTAGCTGCCAGCTCCGCCCCTTGCTTAAACAGTATTTAATCAGGCCTGAAACCTTGGATAGCTGCTTCCAGCAAGTGCCACTGTAGTGGGATGCATGAAGTCACAGGCTGTCCTGCAGAAGTTAGCTGTCTATGTTTCTGTGCTTAAGTAAGATCAGCAAATGCAAAGTGGGTGTGGCAGTCCATTCCACAAATTTTGTACCAAGTGCCTTGCAAACCGTTGGAAACCCATTGGTTTTATCTTGAGTGCATGATTCTCTGTTCCTTCATGCTCATCTCGTGATGTTTCTCATCACATGCTTCCTCTCTGCATTGTTTTTGCAACAGAGGAGGCTGCACTTTAGCTTCAGTTGTGTGTCTTAGAAAAAAAATAACTGTCTATGTTTATTTTTGGTAAACTTTTATGTGAGTTTCAAGGGAAACCTATAATTGCAAAACTTATGAATGCTAACAAGAAAGAAATTGGGGTTTTGCCAAAGCATGAAACAAACGTTTTCAGTACTTTGCCAGCCTTTCGTTAGGCAGTTGCACTTTTTAGGCTTAGAAGTAGAAACAAGGGGCAAATGGTGATGGTAAGTATGGAGCAGAAGATAAAGTGTTGGCCTTAGACCTGCTGAATCACGAAGTTTACTTGGTGACTGCGAATGCTAGGATTGTTATTGGGATGAAAGAGAGAACGACCACACTAACTTGAGTTCTGTAGAGAAGGGGAAGTATTATAATACAATAATAGATTCATTTATGGTTAGTTTCTTCCCAGTGTTCCAGATAGTGCTTATTTTCAAAAGCACGTGGTTCAAAATCAAATCTACAAATACAGGGGAAATAATTGGAAAAGGAAAGGGAGGAATATATTTTGTATGAATACTTGTTATTAGATATTTGAAGCAACTCTTAGAAACAGAATATTTCCTAGGAATTTGGGCAACTATATAAGTTACTCTTCCTCTTCTTTGAAATTTGGCTGCATAGGCTTTATCTTTGACCCTAAACCTATCAGTCACAGCCAACATGGCCGATGATCAGTGATGATGGGATTTATAGTCCAGTACATCTAAAGAACCTGTTGTTGCGAATGGTTGGTTTGGTGATTTAAATAACCTAATCTTTATTCTTGTGGTTTTTCTTGGTTTATCTTAGTGAAGTTACAGTGGTGGTAAGGCCTGTTTTTTTCTTTTTCAGAAGGAAGCATCATGTCAGGTGCTCTGTTACCCAAACCACAGATGAGAGGCCTTCTGGCCAAACGTCTGAGAAGACACGCTGTATTGGGAATTGTCTTCTGTTTGGGAGTAGCATCTATGTACAAGGTCAGTTTTTGCTGGGTTAAGAAATCAGTATGTGGGAGGTCAGTTTCTGTATGTTAATGGCACAGTGTTATATACATTGACTCAGAAATAAATTCCATCAGCTTTAATATGGCTTGCTACCAGGTAAATGGGTACAGGATTGTAGCCTTAATTAAGAGGTGCAACTCTTCTAGCAATATAGAACCATTTTGTCAAATGGTTAATATTTTGTAAGCACTGTAGCCCCTGAGTTTGTGCACTGTAAAATATTGTTTTATACAGTTGGCATGAGATCAAATAATAGCCAAAGCCCGAACCTAATTTTGACTATTTCTAGGTAAACTGTTATCTTTTTGAAAGTTTTCAATTTTGTCTTTTTATCTTTAGTTTGGCGTGGCTGAGCCCAGGAAGAGAGCCTATAAAGACTTCTATAAAAACTATGATGCCATGAAGGAGTTTGAGGCTATGGCGAAAACTGGAGTCTTTGAATCTACGCAAATCAAATAATCACAAGCTGGTACTTAGGTAGTTTTTGAAAACCTTTTATTGCTTAATTTTCTCAAGGAATGTTTTATTTTTGTTAGATATGGGTGTTTAACTGTGTAATCTGTCATACCCTAGGGGGTCAAAGTAGGTAGCCAGAATATATCTTCTGAGTTATATAGAACATCATGTATTTGACAATTGAGAATAGAATGAAGGCGCAAACAGTATGTAGTTGTATTTTTTATTTTTAAAAAAATTAATTTTACAATTTTAATGCAACTGTATTTAATGTGTTGCTGTTTCATAATATACTGAACTTCTTAGAAAATATTATGAAGAAACTATCTTCATACCAGAAAATAGTGTGAAACAGAGTTTGTCAAAGGAAGCTATGTGAGGGCAATAATAAATGCATAGGCCCAATATTTTTTTTAAACTACTGGGAGGGCTTCATTATGCAAATCATATTTTCAGTGGCATGACTTATCAGCTTAGCTTTGCATCCTCAATACTTTCTTATGTATTGAGTTGTTGTCTGAATGTCTGCATTTAATTCTTATGTTTGACAACATCTGTACTAATGACTCATTGTGAGCATACTGCAATTTGTCCTCTGCTCCTGCTTCATAGTCTGTTTCTTTTAGTTACTGTCATCTGTTCTCCTTAAATCCTCTAATATTTGGCTTCTTTTCTAGAATGCCCCAACTGTGTTGCTGATTTTTGCTTTCCAGTTCTTTTACAAATCACACTTGTTCAAAGCATGTCATTAGCTCTTTTGTACCCTAGTGGTGCAGGTGTTAACTGTATCTTTCTATGGTAAACATGAATGCATCCCATCACTAGCAATCTCTAATATTTGTCCAGTTTGGTTTGTAAACTCCTAAATACGTTACACACTGTGAAAATCAATGCTGCATAAATGTCTTGCCTTTACTAATGCCATAACTGTATTATGTTTATATGTAAACAGAACAAATTCTTAGTTTTTATAACTTGTGTATTTCTCTTTCAGACCCTCCTTGGAGATCTGGCAAAATTGAACATCACTGTTTCTTTGAACTGTACCTTATGATCTACTTTAGTGCTGGTCATCCAGTACCTTCACTCATTAAATGAAGTACTTCTGTTAGAATAGACAGAAGGCCAGTTGCTGTTGTTGTTGTTGTTATTGTTAGTATATTACATTTATACCCTATCTTTCTCCCTCTTGCAAGGAACCCAGAGCAGCTTACACAGTTCTCCTTCTCTCTATTTTATCCTCACACCAGCCACCCTGTGAGGTAGGTTAGGCTATGTCTGTGACTGACCCCAAAGGGACTCGGTGAACTGCATATCTGAGTGGGGACTAGAACCCAGAACTCCTAGATCTCCAGTCCAATAGTGTAACTGCTACACTACCTCTCAGTTGTCTTGATATATTTAAAAAGTGCAGTGCCATGAGATTGTTCATTAATCCTTCAGCCTACATGAATTATGAGTATTCTTATCTTGTAAGCCACCCTGAGGCTTTTTGTGAATGGGGCGGCATAGAAATGGTCTAAACAAACAATAAATATCCTATGCAGGGCAGGAAGAAGGTGTAGGCAAAGTTCACCTCTGTGTGAGTATGTCATATCCTAGCTTCAGTGTCCTATACTCCCTTAGCAATGTCCCCTAAACATTTTCTGGGAGGTTACTCTTGCAACCTTGGAGAAACCACTGACAGAGTGAGGTACTCTGAATGCAGATCCACACCTCCATAGTTGGAGTTATTTTCTAGCTGGAAATTGAAATGTTTCTGTGGCCCTCAAGATTCAGTATAGAAGTCCTAAGATCCCTCTGTTGGGGAAGGTGTGATGGCAGTACAAATGAGGGATCCACTAGGTTTAATTTTGGATCAGGATCTACTAGGAGCTCTGAGGTTCACTTGCTGTAGATTTGTAAGGATTTCTCACCTGTCATTTGCTAACCATCACAGGAAAAAGCCCCTCCCTAAAGTATGCTGAATCCAGAATTAAGAATCATAGAATAGTAGAGTTGGAGGGGGCCATGAAGGCCATTGAGTCCAACCCCCTACTGTTAGAGGACACCAGGACATTAAGAATTAAGGAAATCTATGACTTTTGCATCAGATTCTTGTGTTTGGATGGAAAAAGAAAGTAGATCCCCCTAGCCTGTAGTTTGGCCACCCCTGCATCAGAACACTGCAACAAAGGTTAATGAAGAGTTTGCTTGATGGTAAGGGAAGAGGATTTGATGGTATTTCTAATTTTCAGGATTGCCTCGATAATGTACCATGGGTCCAACCTAAAGCATTTATTCCCATTGAAATTAATATATCTGGGGTAGTGTAAAACATATTCCCTTACCTTTGTGGAGCTTCCTGTTCTGTGTCCTTCACAAAAAGAATCTAGTGAATGTTAATTTTTCTTACTCTTCTGAACATTCAGGCCTCTTGCTTTGCATAACTGGTTTTAAAGGGGAAACTTTTGTGCTGTATAGCAGTCAGTTGGTGAATGCACATCAGAAGCATGTGTGCAAATACATATGCAATATTGTTCCTTCTTCCACAAATTCCTTCTGCTTCCTGCCCTTTACATAACTACATGCACACTTGGAGAATGGGAAAAGAGCAAGGTTGATCTCCAAATGCATGCATGTGCAAGATGACTTCCCAAATCTGGTGCTTTTAGATGTTGTAGACTCCTTGTCCTGTCAGCCCTAACTGTCATGGCCAGGGGTGAGGAATCTTGAGAGTTGTGCAAAAGATTGAGGGTGTGAGGCTGGTGAAGTCTGGTGCAGAGCATCCTGGAAAGTGGGCTTAGACTTGTTTGTGTTGTGTTGCGCATTCGATTATACCAATTTTGCTTTGATCCAAATTCAGCCTGTGTGAATTGAGCATTTTTGGATGGGATACACATTTCTATACTAATGAAATGCATCAATGTGATAAACTTTTGCGTTCAGGTGCATATTGTCTTTGTGCCCTCCTCCCTGCAACTTCTGCCTGACTTGTTCAAGTTCAGCTATCAGCCAGTTTCTGCTCAGCATTCTCCCTCCAAAAGGGGAGGGATAATCTCCAAAGACTTTTCTTTTCTAGATTGGATCAGTAGATAGTGCCACAGTTTCAACTTGTCCTTTACAAATCTTAAAGCGGGAAGAAGTGGGACATAGAGCTGGGATTCAAATATTACAGAAAAAGCCTTAGCATATTGGATAAGATATAGAAACAACTCTTGTTCATGATGTTAGCTTGCAAAGTAGGTTGTGTCCTTTTTCTAGACACTTTCAATTTTGGCTGTAAAATGAATGTTAAATGTTAACAAGAAAGCTTGAAGTTGGAATTACTTGGTTAACACTATTGCTTGGAAAAGTGCTTAGATGCTGTAGTGAAATAAACTGCATTTGCCATTATGTACTAGGTTATGGTGCATGAAGTATGTGCCCAAGACCATGGATTGGGAAATACTGATTTTTTTCTATCTGTAAATGCTGCTTCTCTACAGTTCATTAGCTTGTCTTGGGTGTGTATTAATAGAAATGCAGTCTATAAATGTTTTATGTTGCTTCCACAGTCAATTGTTGGAGGTAAGTTGCAAGAAAATACTTAGTAGGAAATTTCTTCAGCTTTAATACAGCATTCATAGTCTAAGTTATTGTCAAGTCGCTGAATTCGGACCCCTTAACATATGTATACTTCAGGGGAATATATTGGTGTAGTCAGTGCTCTTTTTGTAAAAAAAAAAAAAAAAAAAAAACGGTGCCGGAACTCACGTCTTGGGCTCATACTTTTACAGTAAAAAAGATTTTCAGTTTACTTTTTTTGAAATAAAAAACTTACCTTTTGCATGTAGCCAGTCACTCTACACACACATAAACGTAATGGTCGCCGCCAGCAGTAAGCACTCAGGGCGCGACCACACGACCGATCCCAATCAGCAGCGTCCCAAGCTGAGCAGCGCCCTCACAATCAGCACCGACAATCAGTGCCGACAAGCAGCCCGCAGGCACTATGTTAATGATTTTTGCTGCCAATCTGCTATGCCCAATAGGACAATTCATGAACACTTGGAAAATCCATCAAAAAAAGGTGCCGGAACGCCATTCCAGTGTGTTCTATGACAAAAAAAGCCCTGGGTATAGTTGCTTTTCATGGAGTAGTCCAGTTAGCATCGTTGAGATAAGCTAATAATGCCATTAGCTTATTTCAGCAGCAGCTGGCGTATATACTTTTTAAGAGCTAAAGCTGGCAACAGTATGAGACAGCTGGAGTATAAGAATGCACCTGGATGGATAGGTATAATTAACATTGAACCACCTTGAATACCACCAGTGGGAAAGAACCTAGAAGCCTGCCCCAAACCTTGGCTGAGTTGGGATCTCCTTTGGCAGCCTTAGCCAAGCCACTAAAGTTTGGTCTTCGTTCCCAATTTTGTAAATTGGAGATAATAGTTGATAGGGTTGATGTAGGAAGAGAAAATTTGGTTCCGTTTCATTGCTTATGCACTGTATAGTAGCAGTATTTAGCAGACACAAACCCATATATAACAACTTACTTGGAATATTTCAGAAGATGCAGACATCATTAACTAACTTGCAGAAGTCTTGGTTCTGATTACTAGTTAACATCTAGTATTTTTAATAACCTGTAAACTTGCATGTGCAACTTTTAAGGTACATAGTAAAACTTAATTTTATTTCAAGTATTTCTGGAAAGCCTTTAAACATCTTTTCTGGTTGACTTTAATGTTCAATTAGTATTTTTTCACTGGTTGCATATCCTTGAGCTTAGTCAATGAGTATCTTGTATTGTTTCTACCGTACAGAGCTCTTTAGATGGTGCTGAATCATGCATTGTGTGGGCATGTTTGGCCATTAGAAGCGGTTTCCACTATTGATGTTTTAAAAGGTAGATAAAAAAGTATTCTCTAAGTAAAGAAGCCTTGTGACCTGAAAGTCTGAAGGTCTCTTCTTATGGCATCTTAGTATTTTCAGGCATTTGAAAGTAGTAGCTTTGGTGTAGTGAACGGTTTTGAACAAAGTGTGCGTTCATATAGAATGATTAGACGTTGATGGTCCATTTGAAGTATATGTTTCACTGTCAAGATTTGAATTTACAAGTTTGAAAATATAATGCAGATGGCTTAATTTGGCATCCTGCTTTATGTGAAGACTATGGATAGCTCAAAACATTGTAAGCGGTTTTCTTTTGAGGGGGGATCTATTAATCCTATAGTTTAGTTATATGGATATGTTGAAATCATTAAAACTAAATCATTCATATACATGATTTTAAGAAATTGGAACCTAGCCAGCACCTCAGGCCTACATCTGAGGCACTTCTGTCTTTCGTAATATTTTGTCCTACAACTCAAGCCAGTCAGCACAGCCAATGGTGAGGGATAATGCAGGGTTAGGGTTGGAAAAACAAGGTGTCCTAGCATGGCTTTATGATTGGAATGTGTTTAGAACAGGAAGAAGTGTTGAGCTGGGCAGAAAAACTGCTCAGGGAAGGCTTTTTCAAAATCACCCTCATCTCAGTGGAACTTTACCCCTATATTAGGGTTAGAGGTGTGCATCAGGGTAGGGATAGGGTTAGAAAAACAAGGTATGCTGGCATGGTTTTGATGGTTGGAATGTGTTTAGAATGGGCAGGAATGTTGAGCTTGGCCGAAAAAGCTTCTCAGGGAAGGCTTTTTCAAAATCACCCTCTTTTCAATGAAACTCTTCCCCTATATTAGGGATAGGGGTGTGTGTCAGTGTAGGGTTGGGTTAGCAAAACGAAGTGTCCCCCCAGGATTTTAATCATTGCAATTTGTTTTGAATAGGCAGCAATGTTGAGCTGGGCAGAAACTCTGCTAAAGGAAGGCTTTTTCAAATCCGCTCTCTTTTCAATGGAAATTTCACCCTATATTAGTTACAGGGTGTGCAGCAGGGTAGGGTTAGGGTTAGAAAAAGGAGGTGTCTTGGCATTGTTTTGATGGTAGGAATGTGTTTAGAATGGGCAGAAATGTTGAACTGGGCAGAAAACTGCTCAGGGAAGGCTTTTTCAAAATCACCCTATTATCAATGTAACTTTACCCGAATATTAGTGTTAGAGGTGTGCACCAGGGCTGGGTTAGGGTTAGAGAAACAAGGTGTGCTGGCATGATTTTGAAGGGTGGAATGTG